CATTCATTGGATAAACGTTTATGCCGTTAGTCTATTAGAGTTTTAGTAGCGATACTAGATAGCATATACATAGAAGATGGTCCATGTATATGTGTTGATTTTGAGGCCAGTTGTCCTGGGATACTTTGAAATGTGAGAATGACTTAAGTATTCCTAAGGCATAGCTATTCCATCTGAACAAATGTCCAATCTCTGCTCATCCCCACTCCCTATGTTTCCCTTTTTTCATCTGTGTATCTTCTCTCTCCAGGAAGCCCTCTCTGACTCCCTAACACGGTTCTATCCCTGTACCCTTCCTTCATGGAAGCTATCACAGGTGTAATTTTATATTTATTTAAGTGATACTTTTTCAAGTCTATCTTCCCCACCAGGCTGGCCGTAAATCCCGTAAGGGACAGGTAGGTTTTAATCCCAAGGTTTGTGAGTGCAAAGAATAGTGTCTGTCACAGGGTGGGTGCTCAGTAAATGTTTACTGGATGAGTATGTTTATTGAAGAACCCACAGTTCATATTCTACTATATCAGGCAGAATGCTGAGTGCTTTACAAATAAGAGTTTGTTGACTCCTTGTAACAAACCTATGAGGTAGGTATTACTATTAACCCCATTTAACAGATGAGGAACCTTGAACTGAATGATGTGCTCAAGTTCATACAGTTCAAACCCACCATTGTGACATCGATGTGTAGTTCACCACTACACTATATGGTTTTTCTACTGACAGAAAAAGTGCAGGTCTCCTATGGGTTGGCAGTTCACATCTCTAGGAAACCACCCAAAAGCCAATGTATGCTATGTTGGTACCTGGCTAAGGGCTCTGAGTTACCCCTCAAGGCCATGGGCCTTCAGAAGAGGTAGTGAAGATGTTACGAAAAGTGGGGTCTGTCTACTCTCTGCTCAAAAGCCCATAAAGAGGCAAGGTTGGTGAACAGGAAAGTTGGCTTTACTCCGGAGGCCAGCAACCAGGGAGAGAGGGCGGACTCGTATCCACAGGCCGATGCCCGGACTGACAGTCAGTGGGCAAGAGCTTTTAACGTGGAGTTTCAGGGGTCACGGCTGGAGGGAGGGGGCTACATGCAGAAACGGCACAGTCAGCTCTGACAGTCGTCTTGAACTTGGTCATGCCATGGTCTGATCTGCGTCATCCTGATTGTTTCGAGTACAGTTAATCTTTAGTTCCAGGGCCACTTTGTTCCCACTTCTTTGAGGCCAGTTCTCGGAATGGTGGCAGCTTATGGCATGGCTACAGTCTGGTCATCATGTAGTTAACTTCTTCCACATGGTGACGGTTTCAGTATCTACAAGACAGCTCACAGGATACGGCTCAGCATGTTCTCTATAGCCCTTGAGGAGGAGCTAGAGGTCCTTGACTCTGCTTAATGGCTAAACTATTATTGTTTGTCCTGTTTGACTGCTTTCCTTTGCTTCTGCATTTTCTCACTTCTCTGATTAAACTTATGCTTTGGCGAAAGGTTCTGTACAGACCAAAGGCAGGCAGAGGACATGAAGGGGGAAGGACCACAGTGTCCTGCTCCATTTCAAAGACACAGGCTATTTAAGGTTACCTTCTCAGAAGCACTAAAACGTTGCACCAGGATGGAAATTCCTGGGCTGGGGAGCCCAGAGTGATAACAGGAGACAAAGCTGAGGAACACAGCCTTTGAGGCTGCAAAGGAGCCTTGAGAAGCAATGGAGCGAACACACCAGGAAAACTCACCCGCAGGTCACACGGTGCCCTCCGTCTCCCCCTAGCCATCTGCAGGCCACAGGATGCAAGGGAGGGCTCCTGCCATACTGAACACAGTACTAAGCAAAAGTGTCAACTGTAGAAGCAAAGCAAAGACCCTGTCATCTGAACCAGGGCAAAGATTCGAGGCTGAGAAGGTGACAAGGCTGACATTTAACAAATTGGGCTGGAACAGCTTAAATCCCAGCTTCAGAAGCTCAGGATTTGCTTCTCACAATCTGGGCAACAGGAGAATCACCTGGATCTTGTTAAAAACCCAAGATTGGAGAAGTCCAGCTTCTCAAAGCGGGGGCTGCATGCACAGCACCTGGGGCTTGTTAAAAAGGGAGCCTCTCTGGTCCCACCCCAAACCTCCGCCCCTTCTGACATGCCCAGGGAAGTTGGTCGCTCGTTCCGTGGGAGAGTGAAAGCTGAATTCAGCCTGCAAGTGAGTCCCTGCTGTGAGCTGGAGAAGGAAGCTGGGAGTGAACTGGATGGGTGAGTAAAAGGACGGAGTTCAGACTAGGAAAGCCTTTTGCTCATCCACTTCCTGTTATAGTGCAGGCTTTCCAGAAATCTGTTGGTTCTCTCTTAGAACAGAGGGAGGTGCCTGCTGCCTTCTCTTGCCTACCACCGTGTTAGCTAGCTGCACCCTAGTCCTTCCTTCACCAGCATGTTTTTGCATTTCCAGCAGACACAGGCTGAAGAGAGAAGTGTTTTGAAGTGATGAACTTCTTCAGTGATGAGGTTTCCTCTAAAGATGTCTTCTGAGCTGGGGAATATATGTATCGGCGCTACAATTTGAGCCATTTTAGTAGTTCCTATTCTTTTTTTTTTTTTTTTTTTTTTTTCCGGTACGCGGGCCTCTCACTGCCGTGGCCTCTCCCGTTGCGGAGCACAGGCTCCAGACGCACAGGCCCAGCGGCCATGGCTCACAGACCCAGCCGCTCGGCGGCATGCGGGATCCTCCCAGACCGGGGCACGAACCCGTGTCCCCTGCGTCGGCAGGCGGACTCCCAACCACTGTGCCACCAGGGAAGCCCAGTAGTTCCTATTCTGAGTCTGGTTTGAGCTTCAGACCTGTGGCATGTGGCCAAAGAGTTTATTTCTATTTGCGTTCTCTGGAGGCTGCTTCTTCCTTAAGAGTGTGTTGTTCGGGTGTCTCACAAAGAGGGGCTTAGGGTGCCGTGCTAATGCAGCAGTGTTTCAGTTGTCTGTGGCTGCAGAAAAAAACCACCTCAAGTGTTAGTGGTTTAAAAGATGAATCGCCACAGTTCTGCAATCGGGGCTGGTCTCAGCTGAGTGGTTCTACTGCAGTCAGCTGGACGGCTGCAAAGTCCGCAAAGGCTCTCCTGAGAGGGCTGGGGTCTGGCTGGGCTCTTCTCTTTCCACATGATGTCACGTACCCCAGCCATTCGTGTTAGAGCATGGTAGCTGGATTCCAAGGGGAGTCTCTCAAGGACAAGGCACAGTGAGTAAAGGGTTTTCCAGCCTCCGCTTGCATCGCATCTGCCAATGTCTCATGAACAAAGAGGCAGGCTGTGTAAGAGGGGACCGCACAAGGGCGTGAAGCCCAGGAAGCATGGTCCATCAGGGGCCATCAGTGTCACAATCTACCACTGTTGCCTTTTTTTTTTTTTTTTTTCCCCTTGCGGGGGTTTGGCAGGGGGATAGCTGGAGAGAAAAGTGAAAGTTAACTAGTTACCATTGTGAGTGTGTGTATGTATGTACGTGACCAAGCGCATATGTGTAGTGCTCCTGGAAACTCTGGGGGACTCTGTCTTTCCCCCAAAGATTCCCCTTTATCGAGTGATGGTTCTTTTACTGAAGAGTCATCTGGAGGCCGGGTTATGGGAGAGCAGTGAGGTGGGATGGGACTTCCAGCCAGACAGATGGATCGATCAGTGTTGGTATCAGGGTGAGTCAGATGCCACAGCTCGATTACTCTCAAGTCAGCGAAGTCAGCGCGTATGAAAGGACAGTTTCCTGGATACCGGGTCAAGAATCGTGTTCTCACAGCACCCTAGAAAATAACTAAAAGATGTATGGACTCTTCTTTTTATTTTCTCTAAAATATAATCTCCTGTATAGGTTTCTTTTTTTTTTCTTTGTCTCATTTACTTATTTCAAGTTTTCCACTTACGGTAGGGCTACTGTATGTTGGGCCATGAATGTAGTAGTGAATAAAATTAAACTGACGTGCCCCACTTGTGAAGTTTAGAGTTGAGAGCCGATTTTCTCTTGTGGCCTTAGATAAGAGTAACTGAATAATTTACGTAATGTGAACGTAAGCCCATCTTCTCCTATGGTTCTTGACCTTAAACTCCACGAGTTTCCAAAGTCTTCCCACTGCCACAAACAAGATGCCATAAGGAAAACAGGTGGTATCATCTTACAGGTAAATGGAAGGAAGATAAGAAAGTTCCAGCATGTACTTGCTCGTGTTTCCCCGACTTAGTGAGATTAGTGGAGCTGGGATTCAAGGCCAGCCCTTGTGATACTGAATCCAGTCTGATTCTCACAGGACCACTGGCCCATTTAAAGCTGCACCATCCTAAAGAGGTAGCTAGAGATTTCCTGGGCACTTGTTCTCTCGAGTCTGCTCATCTAACACTCTTTAGAAAAAGCATTACACTTATGTTGGGGTCAGTTTGCCTATGGCCTCTTCAAAAACTTCCATTTTGCCTGGAAAGTCAGTTCCATAATGGGTCCTTACTAAATGCAAGAGGGTTCTTAGAACGATAATCACAGGTCAGTAACTCACATGCGTAGGGATGCAGAATATGGCATAGTGGTTGACCTTGGGCACTTTATTCTGTCTTCTAAGACTCTCTTTTGTCATTGGCAAAATGGAAATGATAGCAACTACCGCATAGGCTGTTGAGATGAATGAAAGAATCTACGTAAAGCAGAGAGTCTGGTCCACAGTAAGCACTGAAATGACCACTTATTATCTTGGTGATGATAAAGACCTAGTCTACTCCCTAGAGATACAAGGGATGTTGTGATCACTGTGTCACTGCTAAGGTCTCTAATGCAGAGTTCATTGTGAAAGGTCATTTGTAGGCCACACATCTGCCTGACAGATTGAACTAGGGATTTAGCCATAGGAGTTAGCGTTAGTATTTGTTTCCTCACTTTTTTTTTTTTTGATTGACACAAAAGAGCAAGCGTCCAGTCCACTAAAACGAAGAAAAACCATCATTGGTATTTTTATTTCCAAATGTCCCAGCAGTGCCCCGCAAGCAGTAACCTTTCCATTTAACTCTGTTTAGGGTTTGATGCCTATTTTACATCCCGCACGCTTGAAAACAACAGAAGAAACGTATGGTTTGCCGAATACTGGGAGGAAAACTTCAACTGCAAGTTGACAATTAGTGGGTCAAAGAAAGAAGACACAGATCGCAAGTGCACAGGTAATTTCATTCTCATTGTCCTTCTCCTGTTACTCTGCGTGGCCAGCATTGTGATGTCTGCAGAGCTGACAGAAGGAAGCTTGCCTGCAGACGAATTGAAAAAGTAAATTGAATTTTACTAGATTGCTCAGAAAGTGGAACAGGAACGTAAGACTTGAGCGGCAAGAGCAGTACAGACAAGAGTGGATTCTTTTCTGCCTGTCCGTCTAGCAGTAATTGACATTTTCTTTGATGCTTTGAGTTCAGAAGAGGTCATGTTGCCTTGAATGCTGTCTCTGGTAAATATTAGTTCATGTTGTAGCCAGGAGTATAAAGTCATTTTCACATAGACCAAAGTCTCTCACAAATTCCATACCAGCATCAGATTTAACTGTCAGCAGAGAAATGACCAAAAATGTGAAAACAATATATTTGATTAAGGAAAGAAAGTACTTGGGGTTAGAGTAATGAGAATTCCAATGGATTTTCATAATGTCCAAATTAATGTCACCTGCTATTTAAAATATGCTTTAAGATGCTCTCTAAGCCTCGTTTGTAACGTCGCAGAAATATTCCACATAAAAAACACGAGCGTGTTTGCCATGTATGTATGTGTGTGTGTATATATATATGTGTATGTGTGTGTATATATATATGTGTACATAGATATATATATGATGTGTGTATATATAGTGGGTTGGCCAAAAAGTTCTTTCTGGCTTTTCTGTAACATCTTGTGGAAAAACCCGAACGAACTTTTTGGCTAACACTGTGTGGGTGTAGGTGTTTGTGTGTGTATACACACATATATATATGCAGTGATCAGAAGGTGACATCACATGTTCATTCACTGATTGGTTCACAAATATATACTGAGCGACTGCTTTCTGCTAAGCACTGTGCTAAGTGCCGCTGATCTGGTGGTGAGCAAACCAGGTGATGCCACTGCTTTCACGCTGCTTAGAGTGCAGTGAGAAAAAATCAACCTTATTCCAGCGACCTTGCTATGAATACATGATTATAAATTGCAGTAAATGTTCTGAGTGAGGCAACGGCGTATAATCAAGGAATTTTACTCATATTAAAGGCGGAAGCTCTCTCCAAAGGTGAGTAGACATTGGCTGGTTGGGGAAGGGGAAGACCAGATTGGAGAATTTCTGGTGCAGGAAGAGCACGGCACAGGGCTCGAAGCAGGAAAACGATGGTGCCTCTTAGGATGTGAAAAGCAGAAAAACATGCAGTACAGTGAATAGGATAAATGTGTGAGCCGAGGCTGCAGGTGTAGAGATACAAGGAATAAGCCATGCTGGGATGTATGTGGATTTTGGTCTTTATCCTGTGGATACTGGAAGTTGTGGGAGGTCTTACACGAGGGTGTGATGTGTTCTACCATCACCTAGCCCTCTATTAATTAGCATTCCCCAATTTTATACTTCAGTAGCCTTCAACATTTGTAATGATGCCCTTGAGGTACGACAAACCCTAAAATATCTTTAGTATGATCAAGAAAGAGACGTTCGTATTGTATACACTCATGTGTAGTTTTTCTTTGCAATGTGGGCCTTCGAATATTGGCCATTCAGATACTGTAGATTCCCCCATTCAGTAAACATCTGTTAATGAAGAATAATGAATATAGAACATGGTACTAAAACAGCACGAATGGTGCAAGGATGCTGAAGTTTAGGCCTTTTCCTCGAGGAGTTTTCTTTTTGTGAAAAAGGAGAGATAAGATATAAACAGAGACATGAATAACAATAATGGTACAAAATCAATATGATGCACGGTTGGATGCCTAACTCAGCTAACTAGAATATCAGATTAACCACATTCTCTAGCCCGTAGTGTATAGCAACAGTGTTTTCAATAATAGGATCCTTACAGTGTTGGGGGAAAATTAAGTCAATGTTGACTAGACCTATAGGTGACACCAAGCTTTCAAGTAGAAATTGAAAAATTAGCTTGACATCTGGGTAATTTGTCTGTATGATGGGGACATGGAAACGTACTACAAGTACCTCAGTGATTGGTGACAGTTTTTTGGCTCTTTCTGACATTTGATGTTTTGTAGAGTCTGAAAGGTGGAATGAATTGTCTGACGGCCGTTAGGATCGTTCTGTCTAAGGCTCATCTCCAGTCTTCGTATATACTCTAACCAGGCTGTTTTACCTGTAGTCACATTTTAGTGCTGATTATCAAGAATTTGGGTTTATAAAAACATATAAGCTCATTATCCAAACCACTACCTTCAAAAAATGGAAGCAGAAGTGTTGATGTTTTCATATCATGCTTCCTCCATGTGAGAAACCTATGATCACACCCGGTAAATTAGCTGAGGCCCCTCTCCCTTTCCTTACTTACCACTTCCCTTGTGATAAGAGGTGCCATACTGAGTGGACGTCGATATTACTACTATCATTGTGTCTTTTGTTCTTCCTGTTAATGGATATAAGAACGTGGATGGTCTGTGTTTGTTATTCTTTCTCGTACTTTCTCTTTTCCAAATTCAACTAAACTTGTATTTGCTTTGGAAGTATTCCCAGAACACTATTTGAAAAATCTTGACATTTAGGTATACCTCAACTTGGAAGTGGAAAAGTGGGAGAAAAGACATAGTAAGATTTGCTAGGCCACAGGGAAAGAAAAAATGGAGAGAAATGACATATTAAACTGTATTAATGAGAATACTTGCAGTGAGAAGTTGTTTTAATGAAAGAGAAGAGTGGATGAGAGAAGAAAGCCATTGATAGGCTTAAGGGTGTGGGTGATGTAAGGGAAAGCTTGGTACCCAGATTTTGAAACACTAAAAGAATGGGCACATTGGAAAGAAGCAACCAGATGAGGAGGTAGAGGCTAAGTAGTCTGGCATTGCCGATCGTGGAGTCTAGCGTCTCGGAGTGCAGTTAGTAGATGCTTTGATCTCAGGGCTGCAGAAAACAGCCCGCTTCACAGGTCTCTCTCTGTGACTGGTCTCTAACAAAGAACAAGAAAGTCTTAAAATATTCATTCCTAGGATTTGGACACAAACTAAAACGCAGGCATTTTTTTCCTGGGATATATAGCCTCTTCAGCTGTCATGAGCTACTTACTATGTATTAGCTCCAAGTAGTCTTGGATCATTCAGGATTCGAGATCAAGATCATTGAATCAATCATCTGGTCAGACAAGTTTTGAACATGAGTCGTGGGACCCATAACTATTTGGAGAGAGCACATTCCTGGCGTCAGGGGAAAACAGTGAGTTCTAAAAACCCAAGATGGTAAAAAAAAAAAAGTCATGAAAGGAAGAATAATTGTCGAACAAAAATTATTATTAAACATGAAATAAACTGCATATGCTTTATAATTTAATATTGGGCTACATGTGCATGGATTCTTACCTGAACAACCATGGAATCCTTATTCCTATGAATTATCCATATGCATTTAAAATCTCCTTCAAACAAGGAAAGCTACCACATACTTCAGTATTTTAAGACCATCCCAACTTTCCTTGATACCCAATTCCAAGGTCTCTCAACCTTGAGAGCTACACATTCTTCATCCTACTTTCCCTGGTGGTTTATCTCAGTTGTCATTGATATAAATTAAGACTCGCCAGGGACCCATCCTGCTCATGGGTTATCTTGGCTACCATCCTCCAAGGAGTCACGTAGTCGAGCAAGTTTATTGGTGATGTAGGTTTTCACAGAAAACACAAACTCTATCTGAAAGGTACTAAGGCCATTCATGCTACTTCATGGTAGAGCTATATTTTCTAATGGAGATAGTGGTAACTACACGCACATTAAAGTAAGCATTTTTAGATAGCTCATCATAGATTATTTGTTGCTCATGGGAAGAAAAATCAGACGTGAGTTTTCTTTCCGGTTGAATTTATGCTCCCCTACCCTCCCCACCCCACTGGGTAAGTGTGTTCACCCTTAACACTTGCCAGTAGATTGCTGACACAGAGACCAGTTTAGCATATGATCTCTTTGGGAAAAATATGTTTTTGTGGAGTTACCAAGGTCAAGAGAAGAAGGAAAATAAATAGGTGAAGTTACGTCTCTGCAAAAGAGATTGAGGCCATCTTGGTGTCAGGAAAATACTCTGCCAAAGTGTGTGCGAAACCAGAGGTTTTGGCATGAAAGAGGACTAGCATTGTGTTCCAGGGCTATCTCTGAATACCCCTGTGAGAGACAGTATTTAATCTCTCAAAGCCTTTCCTCACCTTTGAAATGGGAATAATAAAAGTTTAATTGCATCCAAAGTTGTTGTGGGAATTAAATGAGAGCACTCAAGAAGAGGATCTAGAAGCTCTTTGGTGGGGGCTAAGGGCGGACTCTGGGAGGGCTCATGCCCAGGAGTACTTCCCAGAACTTCTGCTGCCAGTGTCCTTGCCCCCACCATAAGCCACAGCTGCCACCCCTACTGTCTCTGCAGGAGACTAGCAGCTGTGTGGCTGACAGGGTATTGTTGCTCCAGCCAGGTGTCAGGCCTGAGCCTCTGAGGTGGGAGAGCCGAGTTCAGGACATTGGTCCACTGGACACCTCTCAGCTCCAAGTAATAGCAAATGGCAAAAGCTCTCCCAGAGATCTCTTTCTCAACGCTAAGACCCAGTTCCACTCAACAAACAGCAAGCTACAGTACCGGACACCCCATGCCAAACAACTAGCAAGACAGGAACACAACCCCACCCATTAGCAGAGAGGCTGCCTAAAAACATAATAAGGTCACAGATGCCCCAAAACACACCACCAGACGCGGTCCTGCCCACCAGAAAGACAAGATCCAGACTCATCCACCAGAAAACAGGCACCAGTCTCCTCGACCAAGAAGCCTACACAGCCCACTGAACCAACCTTAGCTGCTGCGGTCAGACAGCAAAAACAACGGGAGCTACGAACGTGCAGCCTGCGAAAAGGAGACCCCAAGCACAGTAAGTTAAGCAAAATGAGAAGACAGAGAAATACTCAGCAGATGAAGGAGCAAGGTAAAAACCCACCAGACCAAGCAAATGAAGAGAAAATAGGCAGTCCA